ATAACAAATAAAATGAGAGCCACAGATGTAAGCCACAGGTATGATTTAAAAATTTTTCTAGTAGCCACATTAAAAAAAAAGAAATCAATGGAAATCATTTTAATAATGTATTTTATTTAAACCAGTATGTCCCAAATATTATTTCAAAATATAATTTGAAAGTGTAATAAGGTATTTTCCTTACTTTTTTTCATACCACATATTTGAAATCCAGTGCAAATTTTCCATTTACAGCATGTCTTAATTCAGACCAACCATTTTCCAAGGGCTTAAGAGCCACATGCGTCTTGAGGCTACCCTCTGGATGGTCCAGGTTTGGATAATGCAGGACCCTAGCTTTCCATATAATCCTGTAAAGCACAGAAAGCAAAACCTCCTCTTTAAAAATGTACTTCTAGGGGCACCTGGGTGGCTCAGTGGGTTAAAACCTCTGCCTTTGGCTTGGGCTGTGATCCCAGGGTCCTGGGATCAAGCCCCGCATTGGGCTCTCTGCTCAGCAGGGAGCCTGCTTCCTCTCTCTCTCTCTCTCTCTGCCTGCCTCTCTACCTACTTGTGATCTCTGCCTGTCAAATAAATAAATAAAATCTTTTTTAAAAATGTATTTCTACTGTAACTATTTATATAACATTTAAGAAATCTAGTCTTCGTTTTACTGATGCTATCCCTAGCACATGTAATAGATGCTTAAATATTTGCTGAACTGAAATTAACTTGGGCCTGCAGCCCAGGGTTATGTTTGGCTGGGTCTCCCCTGTTTTGTTCAGTATGAGAAAAGTGTTTTCTCAGTTTAAAAGAAAGTGGCAAGATCCTGGCTACTTGCCAGGAAGTCCTGCAACTTTTTTTTATAAAGGCCTAATTGCTTCGACATTCTGTTATTCTAATAATGAACATAAATCTTGAAGCCTTGAGTGTCCATAAGGAAAAGCCTGATGTATTTCCTTCTGATGCTGTAATTAAAATGTGTACATTTAATTCTAATTAAGGACCTAGCAGTGAATAAATAACGCTTTAATTTACATGGTGTACAATGATGTCAGTCCAAATCTTTGAGCTTTCTTTGCAGTTAAAGCAACTGTTTGACTAATACAAAAGGATTATTCTTCTAGTCTGGTGCTTCTCAACTTGGGGTAATTTTGCCCTCCAGGGGACATTTGGCAGGGTCTGAAGATATTTTTTGGTTGTCATGACTGGGAAGAGTGCTGTTGGCTTTTAATGGGTCTCAGAAGCTGCTAAACATCCTGCAGGACACAGGATAACGTCCCACAACAAAGAATCCTCTGGTCTCAAACGTCATTGGTGCCAAGGTTGAGAAATCCTGTTCTGGTCCCAAGTTAGATTCCTTCTCTTCCTTCTTCCTATGTTTTCCACCATAAAAACAATTAAAATCATTAAGAAGTTCCTTGTTCCATTTCCCAGAGCAATCAGTATTAGCAATTTGTTTTTCATTCTTTTAATTGTTGTCTTTATGACTTTAATCAAAGTGGTTCTCAATCCTGAAATAAAATCTTTTCTTAAAAAAGAAAAAAGGGGGGGCACCTGGGTGGCTCAGTCAGATAAGCATTTGCCTTCAGCTTAGGCCATGATCTCAGGGCTTTTTAAAAATACAGAAGTCCAGAGATGCCTGGGTGGCTCAGTCAGTTGGGTGTCCTGCTGCTTGGTTTTGTCTCCAGTTGTGGTTTCAGGGTGGTGGGATTGAGCCCTGGTGTCAGGCCGTGTGCTCTGCATAGATTCTGCTTGTCCCTCTCCCTCCCCACGACCACCACCCCCTCCCCCTGCTTCTACTCTCTCTCTCACTCTCTCTCTCTCTCTCTCTCTCAAATAAATAAATAAATAAATAAATAAATAAATAAATAAAATCTTTTAAAAAATTATATAGCAATCCAAGCTACAGCCCAAGATTCTGATTTAATTCATCTGGGGCGGTTTATATATTTAAAGCTTCTAGATCATTCTAACATGCAGGCAGAGTAGAAAACCCCTGATATACATACTTTTTTGTTTTTGATTTATCATCTTAGGTAATTTTTGTTTCTCTATTAGAAAAGCTGAGAGCGATTCTATACTCTGCCTTCATCCCTCTCCTTTTTCTTTCTCTAAATTGTAGCTATTCCATTGTTTTCACATATTTCAGCTTTATATATGTTTATGCCCTTATAGTCTATGTTTTGTATATGGATTAATTACAAAAATTTAAAACTTTTCACCAGTATTTACAATTACCTGGCTATGTAAATGTGTAAATCTCCGTTTTCATGGGCCTTGCTATCTACTGACTAATGCTGGTCTGAGTCTTGTTCCTTTGTAAGTAACTTGTTTTTTCTTACTAGAAACTTTTAGGACTCTCTCTTTTCCCTTGGAGTTCTGAAATTTCACTTGTATGTGCCCGAGCATCCAGTGGGTTCTTTCAGATGAAGACTCATAACTCTCAACTCTAGGAAATTTGTTTCCTATTTAATTTTTTTCCCTTCTCTTGTCTTTTTTTTTTCTTTTGTCCTTCTGAAACTCCTACTAAATGAGTGTTGAACTCCTTTGTCTTTACCCATACCTTTTAATTTGTCTCATATTTCCTAGCTTTGTCTTTTTACTCTATCCTTCTCAAGAATATCCCCAGATTTATGTTCTCACTCACCAACTTAGTCTTTCAGCCATGCTCATTTTGTAATTCTGGATGTCCATTACTTTTCCTTATTTCAAGGTAGTATTTGAACTTCTCAGAACATTTTCTTATTCAAATTCCTCTTTTTTTCTCCCCACAATAGCCAGTGTTTATTTTATGGATACAGTGTATTTTCTTTCTTTTTCTTTTTTGGTGGGAAAGAAGAGGGAGAATAACAATTAGAAATTTTACATTAGTTTCTGTTCCCTGAATAATCTCTGTTCTCTCTATGGCATATTGTCCATTTGGCTAACTTGACTTTTCTCTTCCATGAGGTTGGTTTTCCTACTTTTTCTGGCAATCACTGGTTGCCAGACTTGCAGAGAACGAGGTGGTATTGTGTAAACCTGGATCATTTCCTCGAAGTTGTGTTGATCTGTTTCACCAATAGACCTCTCCTTAAAAGGGAAGCCCTTTCTGTTTCCTATTTGTCACCATCCAACAGGCTATGTATTTTATTAATTTATCAACTGCCTTCTTAGGACAGAGATTTTTGTTTTCTCTGCAGCTGACACATTGTAGTAGCCCAATAAATAGTCTTTTGTGAATGAATGAATGCTTTTGTAAGCAGGCAGGTGGATTCACTGGCAGCGCCCTCTGAAGAGTGAGGAGCTGACAGGTGGCTGGGAGTATGCCACAAGTCACAGCTAGGAGGGCTTCACTCTGGGAGGGGTTCATTCCTGCACATGGCTGCCTCTCCTCTCCATTTCTCCCACATAGTATCTGATGGGAGGTGTGAAGGTGCCTCTGTTTCTGCACACCTTCCATCTCAGGTCCTAGCCTCACAAGAGGCTCTTCCTGGGAAGGTTTTCATTGACAGTGGTGCTGGCAGGTGTTTCTTTTCCAGGAAGATGCAGGGAGGATGTGCTTTCCATCTGCTCTAGCTGTTCCAGTCTGTTCTTTTTTAAAGATTTTTTTTTTTTTTTTTTTTTTTTTGGACAGGGAGAGAGGGATCACAAGTAGGCAGAGAGGCAGGCAGAGAGAGAGGAAGGGAAGCAGGCTCCCCACTGAGCAGAGAGCCCGATGTGGGGCTTGATCCCAGGACCTGAGATCATGACCTGAGCTGAAGGCAGAGGCTTAACCCACTGAGGCACCCAGGTGCCCCCAGTCCATTCTTAAGACAGTTCTTTAATGAGATGCCCTGGTCGGGACTTACTTCTGGTGTCTCAGGCAACAGCTTTTTTGGTGGTCATTTCTCCACCAGTCTGTCTTTTTTCTGTATTTCAGCAATTCTTCAAAGTAGTGGCCCTCTGTTTTTTGTTTTTCTTGCACTGTGAGAGTTCGGTCACTTAAAAATGGTATCTTTTCTTCATGCCTGTGGCAAACTTTGGGTAAAAGGAGAACAGGCTGGTGCATGTATATATCTCTTGTTTTGAACTAGAAGTGTCCAGTGGATTTGCCACTCTGAATGGTAATTATATTCCAAAAGTTATTTTCGAGGAATTCTAATTTATAGATGACCTGAAATAATATGACTAAACCAGTAGTGCCACATGCTAGTCAACAATAAAGTGTTCTAGTCAACAGCAAAATAATTCTGAGATCAGGTCCTTTCTACATTTCTTCTAATGTTTAAATGTCTTTTTCTTGGGGCTCCTGGGTGGCTCAGTGGGTTAAGCCTCTGCCTTCGGCTCAGGTCATGATCTCAGGGTCCTGGGATCGAGCGCCGTGTCAAGCTCTCTGCTCAGCAGGGAGCTTGCTTCCCCCTCTCTCTGCCTGCTGCTCTGCCTACTCGTGATTTCTCTCTCTGCCAAATAAATAAAATCTTTAAAAATAAATAAATGTCTTTTTCTCAAAAAACAAAAAAGGCAAAAAACAGACCCCCCCCCACACACACAGAAAACAAACTGATAATGATAATAGATGGTAGTGGGATTTTACTTAATGTTCTAACCCAACAAAGGTAAACACTTTGTAATCCTTTTTTTAAATTAAATTAAATTTATTTATTTATTTGTCAGAGAGAGAGAGAGAGAGCACAAGGAGGCAGAGTGGCAGGCAGAGGCAAAGAGAGAAGCAGACTCCCCACTGAGCAAGGAGCCCGATGCGAAACTCCATCCCAGGACCCTGGGATCGTGACCTGAGCCAAAGGCAGCCACTTAACCAACTGAGCCACTCAGGCAACCCAACACTTTGTAATCCTATGTCAGGATTTTTTGTTTTTTGTTTTTGCTTTGCAGGTATACAAAATTCATAAGTCTGGGCTGCTGGACTGAATTATTCTTAGTTTGATTTAACTAAGTTTTTCTTTAAGTGTATAAAAAACCTCTGTGTTTAATTTGGGGCTGGGGAGTTCAGTAAATCAATTTTTGGAAGCATTAATGGTTACTTTTTGCATAATAAGGCTTTTGCAGATATGCTGAAAGTGAATAAGACCTTGAAAAGCCTCAACATCGAATCCAATTTCATCACTGGGACTGGGATCCTGGCCCTGGTGGAGGCATTGAGAGAGAATGACACCCTGACCGAGATCAAGATCGACAACCAGGTATGACTCACAGGGTACATGTGAACTGGGGAGCCACACGGCAGTGAGTTCAAAGTCAAATTCTGTGACTCAATTTGATGTTCTGGCTTTCCTGTAAGTTACAATATCTGGGGTCCGGTGGAGTGTGTGTGAGCGTGCTTGTCAGTAACAAAATATGACATATGGTAAGACAGAAAGGGCCAGCTCTCCCCCAGTCCTCGGCTAGTCAGACACCAGGGGAGACAGGAGGTGGGGCCAGAAGTGTTGACAGCCATCACCACCCTTGCCTCCCACCAGGAATCTCAGCCAGTCCTGTTCCAGCCTTGCTGTTGCATCTCACTGGGGCTGTGACAGATTGGCCGTACCCAGAAACAGACTCCTTGCTCTCAGTTGGAGGTTGCCAGTGCTGGGGGGATAAAAACAACAAAAAACGAGCAGAACTGGACTCCTGCAGTTTGTGGCTAGCTGTCAAGCCTGTTTGGAGGAATCCAGGTTCTAGAAGATGGTCTGGCTTAGAGGAGCAGGCCACACCCACAGTGCAGTCACAGTCTCAGCTCTTTGCAGTGTCTCTTAGGTTCCCATCAACAGCCAAAGCAAGCTGCTTGTCCCTGCGGCCACATCCTCCCAGATCCCGAAGACCTTTTCCCAGCATCCGCCTGCCATGTTTCTACTTGCTCTGCAGCCTTCAGCTGGCTCCTGCTGGACGGCAATTCTCAGTTCTCAGCACCATGCTGTGCCCTGCCCCTTTCCGTACAGGGAACTGTCTGCCATGGGACTCTGTGATTCTGAAAGGCCTAGACCCTGTTTAGTGGGAAGAAAGGACCCTGCAATGGAACAGTTCTCCTATGGAGTGGTGGCAGGGACCATGGGGGGAGCACCTGCTGAGAGTGCCCCCTGCATGTCTGGAAATTCCCCAGTCTAACAGCTGATAGAGCTCCAGGATTGTACCAGGACTTATTCCCTAAGTATGGAAACCCCCCATGAATAGGTCCCATGAATAACTCTACTTCCCTTTTTTTGGCTAATGAGGACATGTGGGCTGCTGCAGTGCAGGTCTTCCTCCTCTCCACTCCTCCAGAGGCTTGCTGCTGGGGGAGCAGGGGAACATACAGAAGACAGGTGCTCCTTTCCTCTTTCTCTCCCCAGAAGGGATGCATCCCCAAAGCAGCTTTCCCAAAGGATGATATGTGAAGGGAGTATGCACACCCAGCCATACACCCTCAGGAAGCTCAAAGCCGTTATCCTGGTGTGTGTCCAGCTGCTAGTATATTTAAGAAGAGGATTTGTCAGGGAGTGGGAGAGTGGGGAAATGAGCCAGAAAGAAATATGAACTGAGAGAAAAGCAGGGATAGCTCAGGAATATTTACCAAATGAACTAGTATTAGGAAGAAGTGAAATGAGCTCTTAGCATATTATTTCCAGGACATCTACAACAGAGGTGGATATGTGTATTTAACTTCTTATGTTGGTTTACGTCATTATAAAACCCCATATCTGACCTGATGTTCCAGATACTGTGTTCCTGATTTCTTGTAAGATACCACCTGTTAAGATGGCCATTTAAAATATAGTTAAATTTGAATTTCAGATAAATGAAAAATAATTATTAGTATAAGTATGTACCATGGAATATTTGGGACACACTATACTAAAATATATATATATTTCTTTTTATTTATTGAAATTATTTGTTATTATTAATCAAAATTCAGGTTTAACTAGGTGTCCTGTATTTTTATTTGCTAAACCTGGCAACCTGACATCTGATGAATGAGATGGAATCCCAAACATTGAGAATAGAACAGCTTTTCATAATGCATGTGAAGAAGATCCTGAAATACAAAGCCTGAATTTGCTGTCTTAAATCTCCTTACATCAACCTTATCACCCTTCTTCAGTCCTCTGGGATGAGAGCATGTCATTTTTCCACTTTATTCCCCAATATGCCTCTGAAATATCTTCTTTGCATTTGTTATAAGAGGATTGAGACTTTCTAGAGCAACTGGAAAAATTCTTTGCTTTATTCCAAGAAAGAGGAAATTCAGAGTCAGAACTTGATTTCCATCCAAATTTTGTTTATTGACTCATAGGCTATTAGAAGTAGACCTCAGTTTCCTCATCTGTGTAATGAAGGGTTTGAAATAAAATAATCTGCAAGACCGTTTGGTCTCAGCAGCTTAGACCAATTTAGCATCCTTTGGAGTGGGCAGCTGCACTGAAATGAAGGCCTGCTGAGAACCTGTCACTGGGGCAGGCTGCCGTGGCTAGGCTCCAGGTAAATAGGTAATGATTTAATCAGATGCTCCATGTGAGAGGAACAATCGGTGACGCATATTAATGAAACAGATGGGTAACTGCTAAATAAATTTGAGTAAACAAAAAAGGTCATTTGAAAAAAAAACAGAAGAAATGTATGTTTAAACTTTTATTTCCCTTCTCCTTTGTATTTAGTGACTTATAAAGAGGAAACAAATAAATTATAAGAAATTTAGACCTCCATTTGTTGCCCTGGGTTTATATAACACAAAAGACCTCAAATAAAAAGACTCAGGCTGAGAAAGAAAGATGCCCTATGTTACATTACTTTCTCCCCTCCATTTTCAGCCCCTCCCCAGTATGCTTTTCTGCAGCTCCTACATCCCTTATATAGCCAGCAGCAAACCCATCCTGCATGTTACCCAAGCACAGGACTCCGAAGGCGTGAGAACTGTGAGGGGTAGTAAAGGGACTTTTATGTCATCCTTCCCCATCAGCCACATCCAGCATGAGCTCCTTCTGCACTTGGATAGCACTACTTGGCTTAATTCAGGGGCATAGGGCATAGCTAAGGGGGCCCCAACCGTAGCTCAGGTCTCAATCTTTAGCACAGCCCACTATTCTAAAGCATGTTGTGAGCTAAAGTTGTTCATGGAACTGTGAGGTCAGGATCCCTTTTTTGCTGCCTCTCCCTCCTATTAGCCTGGAATGCTAAGCTCTAAACTGGATACCCAGAGTTGTTATTGTCTGACTGGAAATACCACATTTTGTTAATTTCTTGGGGGGGAGAGACTGGTTTGACAGGTTGCTGGGTGAAAAGAAAGAAAAGGAGCAAAGAATTAAACCTTTGGACTCACCTAGAACACAAAAGTTTTTCCCTAAACTTTTCTCCTTCATCTACTCAATACTTAAATTTTCCAAATTTAAAAGGTATATTTTAAAATATAATAAAAATATAACAAACAATCAAAACTGCAGGATCCTGGGGTGCCTGGGTGGCTCAGTGGGTTAAAGCCTCTGCCTTCAGCTCAGGTCTTGATCCCAGGGTCCTGGGATTGAGCCCCGAATCGGGCTCTCTGTTCAGCAGGGAGCCTGCTTCCTCCTCTCTCTGCCTACTTGTGATCTCTGTCTGTCAAATAAATAAATAAAATCTTTAAAAAAAAAATTTTAAACTGCAGGATCCTGGCACAGAAATAGACTTGGCAGAACAATGGATTCCAGAAACACATCCAAGTATACCTGAGAATTTTGTAACGAAGTTCCTGTGAGGAAAGGATAAAGTAGAAGATAGTGGGACTATTTCATTAGCATTTTGAAACAAGATTAAGTTGGGGCTCTATCTTGACTCTTATACTTAAATTCATTCCAGATGAAATGAAGATTTGAATATGAAAATATATGGAATCATAAAATGGAAGAAGTCAGAAGGTTTTCTGATAGAAGAGATCAAAAGAGCCTTCCTAAACATGATGTAAAATCTAGGAGATTGATACAAATTTAGCCATATGAAATGAAAAGAGAATCAAAAAGAAAGTCAAAAGACAAACTTAACAACACATTTGACAGAAGGGTAGTTTCCTAATATATAAGAAACTTACAAATTAATAACAAGAAAAAAGGAACCACGGGCTGGTAAAAAAAGAAAATACACAAATGACAGAGATTGGTATTTTCTTATTTATTTATTTATTTATTTATTTATTTGACAGACGGAGATCACAAGTAGGCAGAGAGGCAGGCAGAGAGAGAGGGGGAAGCAGGCTCCCCACTGAGCAGAGAGCCCCAGCGGGACTCGATCCCAGGACCCTGAGATCATGACCTGAGCTGAAGGCAGAGGCTTAGTCCATTAAGCCACCCAGGCGCCCAAGATTGGTATTTTCAAAAAGAGAAATACAGATGCATAAGAAAAGTAATTGTTCTTATTCATAATTTGAGAAATGCAAATTAAGGCAATTAAATAAATACAAGTGAAATATAAATCTTCACCTGTTAAATTGACAGAGGGGGAAAAGATTGATAATATCCCATGTTGGCCAGCATAGGGAAAATAGTAAATCTGAAACACTGTTAGTAGGAGTAAAAAACTGTCATACTTTTGAGGGTAAGTGAATATCAAAATTTGAAACATGTTTACTCTTGGGCCCAGCCCTAATTTGCCTTACAGGCACACTTGCAGAAATGTCCTAGGATATACTATATGTGCAAGGGAAATTCACTGCAGCATTGTTTGGAATAGTAGAAATGGAAAAATAAAATGTTTCATAACAAAATGCTCATATAATCCATTTATATGAAAAAGCACACATGTACATATTAGGCAGACATATGAATGTATAGAAAATGTCTTTAAATAAATACTATATGCCAAACTGGCTTTCTCTATGGGGAGTGGAAATACTGAGGGAAGGGAGCTTTTGTATTTTATACACTTCTTGTGTGCTTTTTCTAAGTAAGCCTATACTTTTTAATTTAAAAATTTTTAATAAATATATTATGGAATTTTTTTTGAATTTTAATTTTTGTTAAATTTTGATTTTAAATTCCTATATTTGTATGCCCCTGGGTTTTCTTTTTAATTCTAATTGTTTTTTTCTTATATATCTCAACTTCCAAAAAAAAAAAAACAAACCAACCAAGAAACCTCTTTTCACCAACTTAAAAAACTTGGGGATTTATCTACAGCCCAATAACCCCTTCAGTGTTTTTTAATTCCGGTGGCTATGGTTCAAACCACAATGTAGTTTCTTTGGGAACTCCCACTGAGACGCTGGTGAGAAAGAATGGCCAGCTGGTTGATGACCTTTAATTATTTTTGGAAATGGATTCCAGAATAGAAATTTCAGTAATTGGATTGATTGCTGTAAGACAGTTTCAACTACTTAAAAACACCCTTTGTTTTAAAAAAGAAAAAAAAAACACCTTTGTTTAAACTGTAGAAACTGGGGTAAATTGGAAACACTGAATATTTAGTTTTGCTCTAATTTTACATGTGGAATCATTTTTTCCCTCATAAATAATTTGCTTAGTCTTTTCAGTTCAGCATGTCAGCAGATTTGGCTGTCTGTTGCATTTTGCTTCTAGACAAGGAGCAGGTCTCAAATGACTATGGGAGAAAATATCTCCAGTGACTTTATTCCTTTCCATGTGAGACTTTTGCCCCCTTCCCTTTTTGTCCAGCAAGTAGCTTTGCATCTCTCCCATGCAAGTAACTGTTTCCTCTTTCTTCCTGATCGTCCTGTGTCTGTTCCGCACCTGTAACCAGAGGCAGCAGTTGGGAACGGCTGTGGAGATGGAAATTGCCCAGATGCTCGAGGAGAATTCAAGGATCCTCAAGTTTGGATATCAGTTTACCAAGCAAGGGCCTCGAACAAGGGTGGCAGCTGCCATCACAAAGAATAATGACCTGGGTAATGCAGCCCTAATGTGTGCTGTTAGCAATTAGAAGAGCAGGATGACGGTTTATTTCTCCACTTCAGATACGGTATCTCACAGACCTCATTCCCCTGGCCTTTCCTATCAGCCCTGGATCAAAGGCACATTGTTACGTTATCGTAGGAATTCTCATGAATTTCACAGTGTTTCAGTTTTATTGTAACATTCTCTCAAGAAGAGCTGTTTGTTCTTTTTTTCCAGACAGCCTTTGATTTTTGCTTGGTTTTCTTTATGTATTTGGTTCTCCTTTCTTACACGTATTACCCTATGTTGTTATCTGCACCAGACGATGGATACAGTGACATGGAGATTCCCAGTTCACTTATGTTTGACCCCCGACACTCCTCTCTTGCACTTGGGTTTAAATACAGTTATGTCTGATACTTTGGTGATTTCCACGTGAAATAAACTAGTGGAGCTATGTTATAAAGGTTAAACTTAGAAGTAGCTTTTTCAGGTAGCCCCTCATTAATTTTTCCTGCTCCTTACTCTTTGCTGAGGATCCTTGACATTTCTTCTGTTAGGATGAGAGGGGGCATATCCTGGTCAACCGCAGCACAGAAGACTGGGACAGACTGGGAAGGCTTGTTCTGGGCACAGCTCAGTCACCTGAAGCAGCATGGCAAAAGGACATTCAGGAGCAGACAGTCACTTGGCAAGCAGCCAGCCAATAGCAGAACTCTGTCCCCAGTTTGAGGTTCAGGGACAGATGCTAGACCTTGAACAGGAGAACTGGGCACATTTGTTCTACCAAGAAGCGTGCTGGCCACAGGGAGGATTTGGGTTGTAGACCAGACAGAAACCAGGAGCTGGAGCCAGAAGGGGCAGGTAAAGATAAATGCACATCTCCCTGCCCAGGCATCCTCAGCCAAGATGCTGAGCCCCGGGCGAGGTAGGTTATGTGGCCTCTAGAGGCTGGCCAGGCATATGGCAGTTCTTCCCGTGGGGAATGAGGCGAGGGGGGCGGCCCCGCAAATAGGGCTTTGGGGAAGGATAGAGACAGCAGTCAGAGGACAACTAGGAGAACGGCAGGGAGTCCGCAGCTGAACAACATGGGGACCAAAAAGAAACAGGCAAAAGAAGAGGCTGGGAGTAAATGGAAAAACGATCATGAGCCCAGGAGTGGTGGTGATGGGCAATAGCTTTTGTCTCATTTTCTGTGGGCTGGGCTATTTAAAGTGGAAAGTTAGAGCAGGACCGCAGCCAGGGCACCTTTTCTGCGAAATCGAGGAAGGTTACAGTAACCCTTTTCTGACCCACCAGACAGGCCTGCAGGTGGAAAGGTGAAAGGGGGACATGGGTTGCAGAAACTGGGAATGGGCCATTGGGGAACCCTGATCTCTGAGTTTGCCTGCCATCTGAATCATCCTTTCCTTGGAAGCTGATACTTGGGGGGTTTTATATAAAATGGGTTTAGAAACTTGGAACATTGTTTGCAGCTCCTCCTGGTTGTCAGGCCGTAAGCAGCATTCATAGATTATAAATGTGTCGTCCTGGGGAGTTAAAGGCAGCTGGAGGTCAGATTGCACAGAGGCTGAGCTGTGCTGTGGATAAGTGACCATGGAAATACTCACAAGTTCACTGTTTCATGGGTCTATTCCGGACCTGCTACTCCGTAGAAATTTCTAACACTCAAGTTCCCAAATATCAGACATGACTTTATTTAAAATGTAAATTCCACAAGACACTAGGTAGTGAAGTAATTTCCATTTATATCATGTAGTGGGTAATTGAGTATTGAAATTTAAGAAAATCATATCCTTAAACAGGTGGTATTGCTGTTAGTGTGATTAATGTTGTTGGTCTGGAATTGAAGGACCGTTCCTTCAATTTACCTTTTCTTTTTCCTGTCTTTATTTCTCACCTAGTTCGTAAAAAGCGAGTTGAAGGAGACCGAAGGTAAACTTCTGCAAGAGAAGGCAGAGTTGTACCATGGTGGCCAATGAAAAAGAAGCAAGCAAAAACTCTTCTCCTTCCCCGTCAGGACCATTTTACCCAAGGTTGTGCATTTCCGTTAACCACCCAGCTAATCATGTAATTGTTGTTCTTTTTTAGCACTACTTATTTATCTTGGATTTTTTAATATATACAGTTGTCTCATTTGCTCACGGGCACCTCTGGCCACTTGTACCAGTGGACCTCAGCAGACCTTAAGTGGGTAACAGCAATTGGAAATTACTTCACCACTTTCATGTTGGGTTGTCTGGCTTTCTTATGTGAATTTTTTTTTTCAAATCACTGAAAGGAATTTAGTATATACATGTATTTATAACTGATTACGATAGAGGCCTATCTCTGTTTACATGCATAGCTTTGAGTTAGGCTGAATACATCAGAAGTACTCTTCTGACCACATAAGAAGTTAGTATTGCCAATCTTTCACTGGATGAGAAAATGTGACTAACTTGGAACAAATTCTCCCCTAGTTCCAGAAAAATCACTAAATGCACATGCCCCACTGTTTGAAGACCAGTGGAATCATCTTCTTGAAAGCAAGGCAGCATTATGATACTTTTAATACAACATCAGCAAATAAGTCTGAAATAGTCACCCATGAACGGTCTTCAAGGCAGACTTACAGGCAGCAAAATTAATCAGCACACCTACTTTTATTGATGATTCAACACAAATTCGATCTTTAACATGACTCTAATAGATAACTTTCTACAAAGCTGTTTTAAACTTTTCCAGACGTGATGGGAAATTTTTAAATTTTAGAAACAGGGTGGCTTTTAAAACAGTACATTCCTCAATAAAACAAAAATAATTGCACCTTAGTCAGAATCGTCTGATACATATGACTGAGTCATTTGGGCAAAATTTAAAAGCATTTATTGCTTTACCTTTAGTGTGACGAGATCACAGAATGAAATGTGAATGTTCCCGTTATGTATACAGACATTTGTCCATACAGCATGCTTTATCCAGACGTTTGCAGACATCAGGGGTTAAAATGGGAATGATCGCTTCTCCAGATGTCATCTCAAGAACAAAGCCTGTGAATGTACAGCTGAGATGATTGTGTGGTTGTGTGCAGTAGCTTCTCATCTAGCATTGCAACAGTATGATGCTCAACTAAGGAAACTCAGGACTTCAGCCTTTGGCTGAAGCTCCCAGGCCTCTGATGGCAGACAGTGCCAGAGGCTGTCGTTGGTGGCACTCGGACCCTGCCTCAGGCACCTCGGCCTCTCTCCCTTCTTCTCTCTTCTCCCCGCGCTTCCTTCCAACTCTTTCTCTTTTCCCTTTTGTCTGAAATCCTGAGCCTTGTAAAGGCGACCTCCCTCCACCTGGAGCTAAAGAGAGTGCTGACTCAGAAGAAGATGGGCCCAAGTCCAAAAGTGTTCAGTGACTGAGCGTTCCTGAGTTGCTCGATAGTAGTAAGACAAGCTAATGGGAAAACAATGTGTGTATTATTCCAGTTAGCTTGTAAAACGTATGGAATCTGGCTAGGAGAGCCTTCATGACATTGGCTGTTTTATCTGATTTGTAAGAACTCACATCTCTAAAATCCTTTGAGACATCTCATTTTCTTGACAATATTTTACATTTTTTTGAGGGAATAATGAGCAGAATATGTTGATAGATTTTGAATCCTCAAATCCTTTAGCTTTTGACTATATCTCTCTCTACAAAAGACATAGTAAATACCTTTTGGTGGTTTTCAATTTGATTTTTCCTTCCCTATTCATATAGGTGTGGTATATTGGAGCCAACTCATACAGGCTTACCAAGTACTAAATTTTCTTTCTTTTTTTAAAGATTTTATTCATCTGTTTGACAGAGACACAGCGAGAGAGGGAACACAAGTAGGGGGAGTGGGAGAGGGAGAAGCAGGCCTCCAGCCAAGCACGGAGCAGGGAGCCCCAGGCAGGGCTCGACCCCAAGACCATAGGACAACGACCCGAGCCAAAGGCAGACACCTAACAACGAGCCACCCAGGCACCCCTCAAGTATTAAATTTTCAAGAATTTTTGCAAACTCATTAAATACAGCCATTATTAAAAATTAAATAGCATGCACTTGAAATTAGTTTGTTTATTTTTAAAACAAAAGTAATACTCAAAACTATCTTTTAGTTTTCTTTACTCTTGAGATTCTTCACAACTATATTGTGTCTATGTGACAGAAATTATTGTCTAATGATGTGCTGTTGTGAATCTCTTCCCAACTCAGAAGTTTAGGGTTTCTTGTTGGTTGTTTGAACTTGGCCATGGTGGGAGTACTTTTACTATGAAAATTAGCAAATGTTACAAATCAGATGTTTGCCCCCCTAGGTTGCTGGTTGATAAACATTCATCAGCACACCACAGGGTAGAATGTACACAGTTCCTTTTTTGTGTACACGTTTTGGTTACAATATGGTAACCAACATGGTAAGGGAAGTACCTTTCTCTTAAGTGTCTTTCTCCTGTCCCTTTAGATTTGTTGCAGATATAAGTGCCAAGTCCCTGACATGCCCTTCAAGGAAAACTTTTTCCTTTCTTTTCTCTTTCATTCTCTTTCTTACCTTCACCTCTACAAAATCCTCTATCCTACAGAGTGTTCCCTGCAGCCCTAAGGGCTGGGGGCTAAAGCAGTTCCTGACAAACTCTGGCAGAAAGCAAGAAAAAAAAAAGTCAGAATTTGATGGTGACCATTCTGTGGTTGTTGATAGTATTAAAGCAAAATAGTGGGCTGTTAACAAAACTTAGCCCTGTTTTTAGCTAGTGAAATAGTTGGGTCACAGGTAATAGAGTTTATAAAACCAAATATTTATTACTAATTAGTTTATCTTTTCATTAATTGTGTTTTTAAAGTAGCTTGAAAGGTGACATTTCCGTAAATATTCACATATTAAATGTTGGAAGATAAACTTACTTTTTGGGGACCCTACAAATCATTGAATTAGCCCAGGACTTCATTTCCCCATTTGCCCAAAGTGTGTAAGTAGAAGCTTTTACATAATCCTGCACATGATTAACCCCTTACCATCCATCATGGTGGTGCATAAGGTATATAAAATATTTTTATATGTGTGCATTTTGCCAAATACTATGTTTTGAGATATTTGGCAACATCTGGACAACTGATTGAAGGGAGACAGTCTCTCCCCAGACCACCTCCCTTCCCCTTTGGGGCTTGTACAGGCCCATGCTAGTGTCAGATCACTCATTAGGATATGCGGGCTCCTATCACTGGCACCCATCCCAGCACATGTGGAGGACAACTCTTTAGGAGAGAATTTTGGAAGTCTAGAGATCATATAATTAGTCCAGCACTACAACTCCCCATCTGCCTGAAGCATGTAATGGAAGCTATTTTATCCTCATTAACACAATTACATCCTTTCCTTTCCTCTTGGAAGGGCATAATGTAAATAAATGTGTGGGTGTGTGTGTGTGCATGTGTGGGTGTGTGGCCAAATACCTAATTATCTAATGAGGTATGTGGCTACATCTGGACCACTGATTGAAGGGAGATGTGCTCTCCCCGGCTCCATTGCCCTTATCCTTTTTAGCACTGCTGCAGGCCCAGGTTCAATGCAGATCACTGCCTGGAGTTGGCAGCTTAGGTCACCAAGCACCAAATTTCACAGCATGTATAGAAGATAACTCTTAGGGAGTAATTATTAGAAGCCTGGAAATCATTTTATTGTTCCAGCACCAAACTCTTCATATGCCTAAAGTGTGTAAGTACAAACACATTCATCTTCATCAATGTGATTATTACGCCCCTTCCTTCCATCGTGGTAGGGTAGGCTGTATATAAATATTTTGTACATAAAGATCACCAAATACTGTAAGTGGTATTTGGCTAAAGCTGGACGCCACATCGATGGGAGATGCTATCTCCCAGTCCCTCTTCCCTTACCCTCTTGGAGTTGCTGCGAGCCTAACTTAGAGAATTGCTAGCCTAGAGGGGCACGCGCAGCTCCCCCATCTTAGAACACCAGTTCATCTTACAATAAAAGCCCATCTCCATTTAAAAACTCAGAAATCATCCCAATGCCTATACTCCTCAGAACAATTTCCCTAAGGGAAGCTTGGTACAGCCCACCAAAAGAACACCTGCTTCTCTTCCAGACAGAAAGGTGGCCCCCGGCAGGGCACCACCATGAGGGAAACCAGTGTGCTCTGAAGAACTACCATGAGAACATTTCAGACGCTCAAACTTGAAACCAGTGTGAAGCTTCAGCATGTTTTCAATGTGGGAGAGGCATTTAAATTTACATAAGATTTGTAGATACTTCCTTTTTTCAGAGATAATGATGTACTTAGCCCTCTCCCAGGCAGTGTAAAGCAGACTGAGAAAGTGTAAGAATTCTGGATTAATACAATTTGATATGTGTTTCTGGGTCTTGGGGGTAGAGTGCCTTTTTGCAAAGTGGATACCATCTTTTTAGTTCAAGTTTTGATAGCATCAGTGGAAGCGGGCAGGGGGCAGTAAGGTACAAATACTACATTCTGTGGTATGTTCTCTCTACTGAATTGGAATTGTTTCTAGTGTCAGATTTTGAATCGTGATCCTGAAGCTTCCTTCCTCTCTTCCACTAATGATGCAATAATAGCGGTTTTCATTTTAATGAGCAGAGAACAAAAAAGAAATGTTTTAGCTCTGCCTTCCAGTACCAGGTTCCCCTTACTGCTCCTCACTTCAAATATCCCTGCCATTTACCAGACCCCCCTCAAAGCTCAAGGATTGGGACACAAGGTGTGAGAACGCTTGGCAGAACCAGGCTGAGCCCTCTGGATGAAAGTCACAGGGTTGGGCCCCCCCAGGAACAAGCCTGAGAAAGAAGAGTACCCAGAACCTCAAGATGGATTTATCGTTTTCTTGCCCCCAACTCTAGGTTAGATCAAATTTTGTTTTGTGGTTCAGAAGTTATTAAGTGGAGGGGCTGGGTGAGGTGGGGAGGAAGATGGAAATTGAAGGTCTCCATTTGCTTAAGGGGAGAAGTAAGCTCTGCTCAGCTCACCGCCTTCCTATCTGCCCATAACAGTAATGATTAAACATCCAGGAGATGGGTGGAGAAAGTGCTTCAAAGTTTAAAGTTGCTACCTGGCTCTGGGTACTGTTTTAGGAAGGCCATACACTTAGCAGAAGTCATCCCAGTTTTGTGATGCATCATTGACTTGGGAGAGGATGAAGGAGACTGGACTTTCCTCTGACATCTTCCATGGTAGTCATTTTGAGCACACCGGCTCTGTTAGTTGGTATGGTGGAAGGGCACCATACTAACAGACTCAGAGGCTGACTCCCAATCCCATCACCAACACTTAGCAGGTATATGATCATGGGCAATTCATTCAATTGCCTGACAATTATAGTCTACATAGGGGGAAGAGCACTGGATTTGGAGTCAAGACACCTGGACACTTGGCTCCACACTTTCTTAGCTGGGTGACTTTGTGGCAAGCCACTTAGTTTCTCAAGCCTAAGATTCTTCAGCTATATTATAATGGGAATAATATCTTCACTAACTACCTCACAGATTTGTGGTGAGAAAATAATCAGATAATGGGATGAAAACACTATACTGGAAAGGGCTCTACAGAAGTTGGAGATCATTTTCATCATCTATTCACTAATGTTTTCCACTGCTTCTTAAATCTGTTTTTTTTTTCCTTCCGAGCATTGAGTATGAGCAATCACAGCATGGAGATGACATAGGGGACTGGAATTATTTCATTTTTAACACAGAGACGGGAGAGGTAGTTGACAGGTGGGTGTTATATACCAGTGATGTGTGTGGTAGAGCATTTTCCCTGGGTCATCTTGACAGTACCTGGACGTGGTAAGGACCCTTGCAGTGAGTCTAAGGCTGGACACTTGGGGGAGCAAATAGTGATTAAGAATTGAGGGGAGAGTCTGGGGCAGTGCTACTCCTGCCAGGCTCTGACACCACCGGGGTAATCTATGACTTGAGGTGTGGACAGGAGACCTAGGAGAAAAGATTATCCTTAAGGCTCTAGCAGCTACTTGACAGGCTCAAGTCCTGATAGCGAAGGGGAGGAAGTGTCACCTGTGAGATCAGCTCTCCCGGGCAGCAACTGCCTTGTTATCACCAGCAACCTTTGCCCTAGTCAGTATTTTTGTGCTTAGAAAAATACTGAAACATGGTATCACGGGGCTTTCATAAGCACGTGGAGGCAGGGACCATCTCATCAAGCTTTGTGTCTTCAGTAGCATCTAGTGAGGTGCTTTATATATATCAGGTGCTTCATAAATGTTGCTTGAGTTGAACTGTCCTCCTGTCCCCCAAGAATGATGCTCCATTGGTCATCACATGATTTTTGGAAAACAGTGCTTACTCAGATGCTGGCTGTGTGTGACTTTGGGCAAGACTTTCCATCTCTCTCGTCTTTATTTCGTCTGTAAAATGAAGTGAGTGGATTAGATGCTCTCTAAGATCCTCCCAGCTTCCAAGCTTTACAATAACCCTGTGATTCTGAAGTTTCCATTGCCTCTGAGCATGCATGAGTAATGCCTCCACTGCAGTTCCATCTCTCTTCAGAAGGTTTCTTAGCCAGAAGAGGTCTGAACATTCCACAGACAGTTATCTGTTCCTCTTCAGCGGCTTTTACTGTCTTCAGGATAGTGCTGGAGGAGCAGCCTTCTCTGAAAGGAGATTTTAAAATACACAATATTTTCTTCTCAAAATTGGCGGAGAAGAGGAAATGCAAAGAGGGAAACTGAGTGCAGTAAACACAGCGGGTTTTTCACAGGCTTTTGCTTAAAGTGTGTGTGTGTATGAGTGTGCGTTTCTGAGCACATA